TTGCTGTTGAACCTTGAGAGAACATTCTAGAAACTGCCTAAACATCCAGATCTTTGTGCTTTCAAGCTGGTGACCAGGAAAGAAGGCACCTCGCAGAAGTAGGGATGGAAAGAGGGAGCGGCAGTAAAACAGATTCTGGAGCTGGAGCCACGAGGTGGTTTCTCAGGTGCAGGCACCTGAGGGCCTCCCTCTGCTGACCTACTTGTCAGTCGATAAAAGGAAACTGTGAAGCAGCCTGAGCACAAGACGAAGGGCCACTTGCACTGGGCCGGCCTCCTGGGGCTAAAGGGCAGTGGAGATCCCTGCCTCCCAGCCTCCCAGCCTCCCCTAGCCTCTCCCCTCAGCTGCCTGCTACATCCATCCTAGGACACCGTGTGCCGTGATCAGCAGTCTATCTGACTTTGCCTGTGGATTTGGATTGACCGTGGTGATTTCCACTGAAGTACTGCCACTTTGGTTTCTCCCCCATAAACGCTGTGGCCGTGCTCTCTAAAGTGCAGGTAGTGGAGACGAAGGTGCTGACAGCCTAATGGCGGCGTGACCCAGACATCAGCTCACACACGGGCAAGCAGGCTGGTTCAGTCCAGGGGGGCCACGCAACTGGGTCAGGGAGATCACAGAGCTCGCGCCACGGCACATGGGAAGGAATGGGAAAGCTGCCCAAGCGCCCACTGACGGATGCGTGGATAAAGATGTGGTTTATATATACGAAGGAATACTACTCAGCCATCAGAAAGAATGGAGTCCTGCCCCTCGCAACAATGTGGGTGTTATGTTAAGTGAAATAAGCCAGGCGGAGAAAGACAAATATATGACTTCACTCATATGTGGAATTTGAGAAACAAATGAACAAAGGAAAACAAGAGAGACAGAGAGAAGCAAACCAAGAAACAGACTGTAGGTACAGAGAACACACCATGGAGCCCAGAGGGAGGGAGGACAGGGGACAGGTGACGGGGTGAAGGAGTACTTGTCGTGATGACCACAGGAGACGTGGGGATGTGTTGAATCACCACGTTGCACACTTGGAACCAACACCACACTGGGTGCTAACTAGGCTTCAAAAAACAAATAATTTGGATGCATGAAAACATAGGAATATGGAGCCTCGAGTCCAGGACAAGATGAGCAGACCCTTTTAAGTCAGCCAAAGGGCCGCTGTCTGTCTCCAGCAAACACGGGTGCTCAGCTAGAAATGGCAGCTGTTGGGGAGCCAGGGTGGGGTGCCAGTTAAGTGTCTGACTCGTGAATTCCACTCAGGTCACGATCTCACAATTCATGAGTTCAAGCCCCGCGTCGGGCTAGGCGCTGACAGTGCAGAGCCTGCTTGGGATTCTCTCTTTCCCTCTCTCTCTGCCCCCTCCCTCTCTCTCTCTCAAAATAAATAAATAAACGTTAAGAAAAAGGGACAGCAGCTGTGGAAATAGTTGGGCATGCCATGCGAGCAAAACTGCGTTTCCTATCTCCAATGGCACTTAAAATGGCCTGTGTGCCTACAGAAGGCAGGGATGGCCTGAACCTTGTTGGCACTTTGCACATGCAGCCGGACCCTGGGGATGATCGTGCTATCCATGCAATGTGAAGAGATGCCAGGGTCCACGGCCACAGAGACGAGCCGACCCTGCTTCACAGGCACTCAGACGTGAAACATGGGCCCAAACTGTCTCCTTCGTTTCTAAGATCCTTTTCGAGAAACTGCAGGAAACATAAAAGAGCAGACTGTTGGCATCTTGTCCAAATATGAACTACACTTTGCTCACATGTCCGGGCATTTGGCTGACGTGCAGGGTCATCCTGGCAGATTGCATTTATTCTTCTGATTTCTTGCCAAAGAAAAGGAGATTCCTCTTCTAGATCCTGGATGTGCACACCTCAAACTCAGCCACAGAACAGGAGTGACAGCTGACATGTTCAAGGCACGGCTTCTCAGGGAGGTGGTGGTAGAGAGCTTTATGCAGAGGGGGCAGAGCTGAGGGACTACCTTGTATGGGCTCTGGGCCTGGCACTGAGCTCAGAACTCTTGTGTCTTTCATCTTAATCTAATCTATTCTTTCTTCCCGGCAAAATCTTGGGTGCCAAATGAGGCCCAAACAAAGGTAGACGGGTGACAATCAAGAAGATCTGAGCATCGTACCCAGGACATAACAGTGGCTGTCCCTGCTCCATTCGAAGCGCTTACGAAGTCGAGCGAGGAAGATGAACTCACCAAAGTACCTCTGGGGGCGTACGGAAGCCACTTAGGAATGACAGCGGCTGAACAGTGGTGAGGGAAACACCCTTGGCGTCACTCATATCTGTGCAAAACCATGAGCACCCCCTCGCCCCCACGATGCCTCTCCGTCTAGAATGCCCACGGCCCCCTCGCCCAGCACTCCTTTGGTCATGACCATGTCTGGTGCTGACATGCACACGGCCCAGAGGTTAGGACGTGCCCTGCCTGATCTCAGAGGATGGCACGGGCGGCCCCAGACTCCAGCGTGAAGGTCTCTGGAGCCAAATGTGGAAACTCAGCAATAAGAGGCACCCTTGGTGTTGGTTAGTGTTGGTGGAACCCCTCTCCCCCGTGCACCTGCTCTGTGACCTTGACTGGTCCTGTTACACACCTCCCCTTGCTCATCCCTAACCAGATTGATCAGGTTGATCCCTACCTCACTGGGATTCTAGGGAGTGAATAAAATAAGGACTCCAGAGCTATCTGGAGTCTCATGTGGCCCAGATCTGCCTCTTCTGGTGAGACACGGATCTCCCCACCCGAGCGGATGGCTGTGGTCCTTCTTCCCACATTGTGCTCATGGCCCAGACTCCCCGTGGGCTCTGGAGAGAGTGAACCCAGGCCCTCCGAAGGAGCGACCTCCATGCCTTATGCACCAGACCATCCCTCCCAGCCCCACACATGGACCGAGCACCGTCATGGAAACAATGACAGGGGCTCGAAGATGCCAAGAGAAATATAGCAAGCGATATACAAGCCAGATGTGCATTGTCTAGACAAGTTAACGTCATGACCAAATCCAGTTCCACAAATCAGATTATCTTCAGTGCCCCATCCCACATTTCCAGCCTCGTAGAGAATCACTTGGAAGGAGACATTGCGCCAACATGGGCCCCCGGCTCCTTTCCTTTCACGAAGCTAGAAGGCCTGGCTCGGCCTCAGACAGAATTGCAAAGACAAAATTCACCCTCAGCATTGCACACTGCCATGAAAGGACTGAGTGGCATAGGTGGGAGAGGGTGGAGGGGAAGGGTGCCCGTCTGGGACTCTCCAGGAACGAGGGGAAGTAAGTGTCCTTCACACGGACTTGGGAACATTCCTCAAGGCTGAATCAAACAGTGTGATCGCTGTGGGTGTGTCTGACATTTCTGTAGGCCTGCAGGGTTATCCACCCTGTGCCAGGCCATCACAAGGGCGTCTGGGGAACATCCGTACAATGTGGAGCCCCCAATTCCACAGAGGAATCTAGGTTTGTCAGGGATTAAGAGAGACAGCTGGTCTGGAGCTGCCTAGATGCTAGCTGTGATATCTGTTGGTTGTGCAACTTCGACAAGCCCTCTTTGGCTGTGAGCCTGCCTCCCCAGTGGTCACAGGAGGGAGGACATTTGTAACACAGATATCAGAAGGGTGACATGGTATCATACACGTATTTCACGTGCGTATTCAGGTATCTCTGTTAGGACTCCGAACCGCCTTGCTGGTAATGAGTCTGCATCCCCCAGGAAAGGGAACAGGGCTCAGAGGTAACAAAAGCACATTGTAACATGAAGTTACTCACTGACAGTGACGTGGCCCTGGGCTTCGGAGGGTTTCCTCCATTCCAGGCCACACTGAGCAAACTTTTCCTGCACCCTAAGGTGAGCTAAGTCAGAAGGAAGAAAAAATACAGCTTTTCTAAGTAGTTTCCAAAAATGTAGAGGTTAGTCTCTCACAGAAAAGAAGTCTGGAGTTGGAAGTCCAGGGCTGGTGGGGCAACTCCATGATTTTCTCTGTAAGCCGGACCCTTCTGTCCTTAGAACGTGGTTCTTCTAATTTGCCTCATATTCCAAAATGGCTGCTAGATCCCCAGCCATTCCATCGGTGCTCCAGCTAGGAAGAAGGAGTGAGGGTAAAAGAGCACATGTCCTAGCCGGGACAGGACCTCTTGAAAAAGTACTCAGAGCCCCACTTGGTGACTTATACTTACTCCACACCAATGACACTTGGCAGGGAGGAGACGAGGAGAGGTTGGCCTTCCATTGGGACATTGTCACTTGAATTAAAATCATGTCATGTTCCAGGAGAAGAAGAGGAAAAGTAGAAATCGAGAGCAGCCAACAGTCTCCACTATGTTAAGAACACTGATTCCAAACTTGGCCTGTCTGGAGTAACAGTTCCTCTTGTAAGCTCAGGAAGTGTTCCCACATGCACGCCCAAGGTGCCCTTGGGCCATTGTTATATCAGTCATTGACCCACAGGAAGCAGAGCAGCTGTAAAGTGCTGAGGGTCCCACGAAGATGGGGCGCCACCCCACCCCCTACTCTGGACCGCATAGCCATCCACCTGAGCATCTGTCACTTCCCTGCTGGGCCCCCTCTCCCTCATCCATCCATCCATCCATCTGTCCATCCATCCATCTCATCTATCCATTCATTCATCCATCCATCGCACCCATCCACCCACCCATCCATCCATCACACCCATCCATCCATCACACCCATCCATCCATCCATCAGCCCACCCATCCACCCACCCATGCATCCATCCACCATCCATCTGTCCCTCCATCTGTCCATCTATCCATATGTCTGCCTGTCTTTCTGTCCATTCATCCATCTGTCCACCTATCCATCCATCCATCCATCCATCTATCCATCCACCCATCATCCACCCATCCACTCATCCATCCATCCACCCATCCATCCCTCCGCCATCCATCTGTCCATCCATCCATCCGTCTGCCCATCCATCCATCCCTCCATTCGTCCATCTGTCAGTCCAGCCCATGGCAGCCAGCACCCACCTCGTGTTGTGCAGGAACTACAGTGGCTCCCAGCGTCTGTGTGTTGGGCTCACACTCAGAATCTCTCTCGACATGGGATCCGGCATCGGCTAATGCATAAGCCTCTGCTCCAGCGGCCCTCTGTTCCCTGCCAGGCAGCATCCTCAGTGCTTTGCACACAGTGACGGCCTTAATTCTGAAAGAGAAACCTTATGGTGTCACAACTGTTACCCTGATTGACCTATGAGGCAATGGAATAGTAATACCGCCCCACCAGGACCATGCAGATAGTGAGCCTCAGAGCTGGGGACCCCGGAGCTCTGTGCCCAGAGCCCGCCCAGAAACTCCAGGGCATGTCCACCTCCCATGCCATGCTGCATGACTCTCTGTGGCCTGTAAGCTGGCCCTGGGGGCTCCCCCTAATCTTGGGTTCACAGAGGCTGCAGCTGATGTCCTCATGTGTAAGGTAGCACCTGGGGATCCGAATGTCCCCATGCAGAAAGTCCAGCTATAAGGCTGTGACCTTCCCAGTGAACTTGTAGCCCATGAGATTTGCTTCCTGACTGGTGAGAGGGATTCCTGTGACACCCGGTTCCCACAGGTGGCACAGAGGTGCCCTGGCACTGTGGGTGAAAACACTATGAACCAGAAGAGGCTCACAGACGGAAGAGCACGTTGTAGGGGCTTTACCGAGGACAGGGATGAAACAGAGCCAGCTGTGAGGCTGGGGTCTGACCCGGGCAGAGGCACTGGCTTGAAAATGCTGGGCTCTTTCATCTCCGTGCACAGAGAAGGCAGCCACGCACACGTCCTGCTGAGTGAAAATTGACGGTGTGTGTAAAGCACCTAGGATAATAAAGCTTGGCACATTCTTTCCTGGACTTTCCTGAGCTAGTTTCTAAAAATCTCATCTTAGACTCGTTCCCTTAACTAAACATACCCTTGGCAAAGGGGCAGCCTCCTCTGGGACACCTCTAATCTCACATAGTGTGTAAATATCACCATGCTTACAGCTGGTGCTCAATAATTGCTTGCTCAGCTCCTGCACACAGCTGCCCTGGAGAGCACTCGCTGGACCCAAAGCCTGGCAGGGCCACACCCAAAACTGCACCAGCCAGAGGCAGGTCCACAGGGATCAGAAATCAAATCCAGGCAAGTCTGCTGCTGAGAAAGAACCAAACGTGACCCACTGGCATTCTGAGCACCACTAAGGGCAATGGAAAGAGCGTTCGAAGTAAAGGCAGGGCGCCGGGGCGGCTCAGTCAGCTGAGCATCTGACTCTTGATTTCAGCTCAGGTCATGATCTCACTGTCATGGGACTCAGCCCCACGTTGGGCTCTGCGCTGACAGTGTAGAGCTGCTTGGATTCTTTCTCTGCTCCTCTCTCTCTCTCTGCCCCTCCCCTGCTTGTGCTTGCTCGCTCTCTTGCTCTCTCTCTCTTTCTCTCTCTCTCGCTATCTCAAAATAAATACATAAATACACAAAAACAAAGTAAAGAAATAATGCATCTATTTCCAGAACTCTAGTGGGTTTAGGTTATTGATACCAGTTTTCCTACTGAGCGGGGCTGGAAGTGCTGGGTTAAATGTGACACCAGTGTAAACACGTGGCGTCTACAAGACTTAAGGTGTGGGTCCAAAGAAAGGGGGGACACAGACAGACACAAGGGGCAGGGAAGCGACCTGGGACACAAAGGCTCCCATTTCTCCTGGAAGAGCTGAACTCCAAGTGTGACAGCTCGGGGCCCTGGTCAGCTGGCGTCACCACCGGGAAGGGGGCCCACGTGGGGAGTCCTCTGGTCAGGGGAGTCAGTGGGCCCATCCCACCCACAAGGGCTGGGACCCACGTGTCAATGCCCCAGGCCTGGGCACAGCCACGTGTGTGCGGGGCAGCATGCACATGTGGACAGCGGGAACTGCAGCACATGCACGTGCACATGTGTGCTTATGTTCACGTGTGTCTGCTTGTGTTCATGTGTGCACGTGTGTGGTGTGTGTGCACATGTCCACGTGTGGTGTGTGCACTGTTTATACTGTGTGGGGTGCGTGTGCACGCATAGAGGGGGGTGTGTGTGTGTGCGCACACGTGGGTGCATACTGGGAGAGCAGTTGCTGAGGGACCGCAGCGAAAAGCTGGCCCTCACAGGACACGGGAGCCCAGGTCCCAGCACTTGAGTTGGGGGGAAGAGAAAGGAAAAACTCTCAGCCCGTGAAGACGCCGCCCTCCCAGGAGCTCTGCTCTGGGAGGACTGTGGGTCCCAGAGGGAGACCCAGCATGGGGACCAAGAAGGAACGGGCAGAGAACGTGCAGGAGGGGAGGGAGGAGGGCACCCACAGGGCAAGGGGGAGACAGATGGGAAGGGGCCACCGGGACTGGACGGATAAGGATGAATGCTGAGAATTCTCCAGAACTGACTCAAGGATCCTCTCAAATCCCCAAGACGACACACACAAGATATTCCTTTCAAGATATATCCTATCAAAAATACAGACGGAACAGTAAAAATCAAAGAGAAATCTTCAAAGGGGGCCGCGTGGGAGCCCAAGGCAGGCTGTGCACACGGAGCGCCCAGAAGGTGCCGGCCAGACCAGAGCCCTCACAAGAACAGCTCCCAGGAATGGGGGCAGATAAAGTCGTTGAGGCAAACAAACATTGAGAGAATGTGCCTGGAAGACTAATGCTTTGGGAAATTCCCAGACACACGTGAGGCCGAGCAGAGCAGTCCTGGGTGGGACCAGAAAGAATAAGGAACAAAGAAACTGGCAGGTCAAGGAACAATATGAATGAACACTGACCATCTGCGACAGTAATAGCATCAGTAACGTGTGTGAGGTTAACCAGAAGGCGGAATCCAAATCCATGGGACTGGTAATAAGGCGTGAGAGAGGGAGCACAGTAGAGACGTTGGGACATGCAAAGGCCCTGAGGCACCAAGTGTGAGAGCACAAGGCTGTCGACCACCCCAAGGCTTCATCAGGGCAACTCCAACTTTTGTAAAGTCGGCAGCACCTCCTTAAACAGAAGAAACAGAGTGTCACTTCCAACAGGTGGAACGAGAAAACAGTGAAATTGTTTCATTTAAAATGTGTAATTGGGGCACCTGGAGGCTCAGCTGGTTAAGAGTCCAACTTTCGGCTTCAGCTCAGGTCATGATCTCACGGTTCACGGGTTAAAGCCCCGTATCGGGCTCTGTGCTGACAGCTCAGAGCCTGGTTGGGATTCTCTCTCCCTCCCTCTCTCTCTCGAAATAAATAAGTTAGTAAACGTTAAAATAAAACAAATGTGTAATCAATTCAAAAACACCTTGAGACCCAGGCCCAGCAGCAGTGCTGGGAAGGAATATTATCAAGCTGAACGCAGCAACATGTGCAACAAACACACCAGAGAGAGCAATCGTACGAGAGACTAAACTGAGCTCACAGGATCCATGGACCTGGTAGCAAATTGCCAAAGGCACAGACCAGAAATTGGAGCATCCTGGGGGCTTCTCTCTATGGAAGGTGAAATGGCATCTGGTAAACTTCAACCTCCATTTACAAAAAATAAATAAATAAATAAGTCCCCAGAAGGGAAACTTCTGAACCTGTAACAGTCACTCTGCAAACATAGGTCATCAGGCTGGACCCAAGAGTGTCCCCTCGGGACTGTCCCGGGGACAGACGGGAACAGCAGTGTCAACAGTGGGCTTGGGGGCCGTCACTGCAGCAAAGCAGAGAGGGAAGGCACGGGAGGCAAGGACGGTCGCCAGGAAAGCCCCTGAGCTGGGGGACAAAACAACTATGGACCCAGAAACTGCATTCAGTGCCACACACAGAAATCCTAACTGTGTATGTGTGTCTGTGTGTTTCTGTGTGTGTGTGTGTGTCTGTGTGTGTATTTGTGTGTGTGTTTCTGTCTGTGTGTATCTGTGTGTGTGTGTCCCCATGTATGTGTGTGTCTGTGTGTCCCAGTGTGTGTGTCCCGGTGTGTCTATGTGTGTGTGTCCATGTGTGTGTCTGTCTGTGGGGCCCAGTGTGTGTCTGTGTGTCCCAGTGTATGTGGGAGGGGGATGCCCGGTGTGTGTCTGTGTGTGTCTCAGTGTGTGTGTGTGTGTGTCTGTGTGTGTGTGTGTCTGTGTGTCTGTGGGTCCCGGTGTGTGTCTGGGTGTGCCAGTGTGTGTTTGTGTGTGTGTGTGTGTCTGTGTTTGTGTCTGTGGGGCCCAGTATGTGTCTGTGTGTCCCAGTGGGTGGGTGTATCTGTGTGGGTGGGTGTGTCTATGTGTGTGTGTCTGTGTCTGTGTGTCTGTCTGTCCCAGTGTGTGGGGGGAGGAGGGTCCCAGTATATGTCTGTGTGTCCCAATGTGTGTGTGTGTGTGTGTGTGTGTGCGTGCACACGCACCATCCTACATGACTTTACCAGCAGGTTAGTTCTGCATCTTCACCGCCGTCAAGGCACTGAACAGTCCACGCTGAGCATCCTGCGTGCCAGCCTACTGTCCCCGCGGCCATGCGTCCTGGTAGACAATCTTTCATCCCTTGTGAATTCTGTCCTGTGGAAAGCGCAACATACATAGAATCATGAGTTCTGTGAGCTGTGGCATTTGTGCCACTCAGAGCACTTCCTGAATATTCCCCCAGCTCTTGGCGTCATTGGGTGCCCCTTCTTCTTGCCAATTAGCATCCGCAGTTGCAGCGATCTCCACTGCTCACCTCCACTGTCGCGCAGGCCCTGTCGGCCAGTGCGTTGGCTGTTGGGACCCTGTCCACCTGGATGCTTCCCTCCAGGTCCCCAGTTGAGACCCTACACTCATCACTTCCTCCATTTCCATCAGCTTGTGTCTCCTGGGTTTGATGGCCACACACTTAGGGTTCTGTCTCCCTGTGGATCCTTCCCTTTATCATTACACAGCTTCCTTCTCTGCTGCTAAGGATGCTCTTTGCTCCAAAGTCAACTTAACCAGGAGCCTGGGTGGCTCAGTCCGTTAAGCATCCAACTTCAGCTCAGGTCATGATCTCACAGTTCATGAGTTCAAGCCCTATGTCAGGCTCTGTGCTGACAGCTCGGAGCCTAGAGCCTGCTTGGGATTCTGTCTCCCTCTCTCTCTGCCCCTCCCCTGCTCACACACTCTCTATCTCAAAATAAGTTAATTAAACATTATAAAAAATAAAGTCAACTTAACCAGATATGAATATCACCCGTTTTTAACTTTTTAATATAATTTGTCAAATTGGTTTCCATATAACACCCAGTGCTCATCCCATCAAGTGCCCTCCTCCATGCCCATCACCCCCCTTCCCTTCTCTCCCAGCCCCCCATCCACCCTCAGTTTGTTCTCAGTATTCAAGAGTCTCTCATGGTTTGCCTCCCTCCCTCTCTGTAACTATATTTTCCCCCTTCTCCTCCCCCATGGTCTTCTGTTAGGTTTCTCAAGATCCACCTATGAGTGAAAACATACAGTATCTGTCCTTCTCTGCCTGACTGACTTCACGTAGCATAACACCCTTGAGTTCCATCCATGTTGCTACACATGGCCAGATTTCATTCTTTCTCATTGCCATGTAGTATTCCAGGGTATAGATAAACCACATCTTCTTGATCCATTCATCAGTTGATGGACACTTAGGCTCTTTCCATGATTTGGCTATTGTTGAGAGTGCTGCTCATGTGTTCCTATGCATCAGCACTTCTGTATCCCTTGGGTAAATTCCTAGCACTGCTATTGCTGGGTCAGAGGGGAGTTCTATTGTTAATTTTCTGAGGACCCTCCACACTGTTCTCCAGAGGGGCTGTACCAGTTTGCATTCCCACCAACAGCGTAGGAGGGGGCCCGTTTCTCCACATCCTCGCCAGCATCTGGAGTCTCCTGATGTGCTCATTTTAGCCACTCTGACCGGTGTGAGGTGGTATCTCAGTGTGGTTTTGATTTGTATTTCCCTGATGAGGAGGGACGCTGAGCATCGTTTCATGTGCCTTTTTGCCATCTGGATGTCCTCTTTGGAGAAGTGTCTGTTCATATCTTCTGCCCATTTCTTCACTGGATTATTTGTTTTTCGGGTGTGGAGTTTGGTGAGTTCCTTATAGATTTTAGATACTAGCCCTTTATCTGATATGTCATTTGCAACTATCGTTTCCCATTCTGACAGTTGCCTCTTAGTTTTATGGATTGTTTCCTTTGCTGTGCAGAAGCTTTTTGTCTTGATGAGGTCCCAACAATTCATTTTTGCTCTTGATTCCCTTGCCTTTGGGGATGTGTCAAGTAAGAAATTGCTGCAGTTGAGGTCAAGGAGGTTGTTTCCTGCTTTCTCCTCTAGGGTTTTGATGGTTTCCTGTCTCACATTCAGGTCCTTCATCCATTTTGAGTTTTTGTGTATGGTGTGAGAAAGTGATCTAGTTTCATTCTTCTGCATGTTGCTGTCCAGTTCTCCCAGCACCATCTGTTAAAGAGGCTGTCTTTTTGCCATTGGATGCTCTTCCCCACTTTGTCAAAGATTAGTTGGCCAAACATTTGTGGGTCCAATTCTGAGTTCTCTATTCTATTCCATTGGTCTATGCGTCTGTTTTTGTGCCAGTACCATACCGTCTTGATGATTACAGCTTTGTAGTAGAGGCTAAAGTATGGGATGGTGATGCTTCTCATTTTGGTTTTCTTCTTCAATATTACTTTGGCTATTGAGGGTCTTTTTGGTTCTATACAAATTTTAGGATTGTTTGTTCTAGCTTTGAGAAGAATGCTGGTGCAATTTTGATTGGGATTACATTGAATGTGTAGATTGCTTTGGGTAGTATTGACATTATAACAATATTTATTCTTCCGATCCATGAGCATGGAATGTTTTTCCATTACTTTGTGTCTTCTTCAATTTCCTTCATAAGGTCTCTATAGTTTTCAACCTTCTTTCCCTTTGGCACCTACACAAAGTTCTGCCCTCTCGGAGCCCTGACTGTGTCCAACGAGTAAGCCAAGCTTCCCCAGGCAGCCCTACTACAGTCCTGTGTTGTTTCCCTCCTGCTTCTTCGAGACTTTTTTCTTTAACTTTAATTTTCAAAAGTTTATTCATGGGTGTGTTTGGGTTTCTCCTACTTGGGTCTGAATGTGTGTGATGTGCCCCCTGGGGAAGCTGTCCCCTGACGTTTGTCCAAACCTGCCGTCTGCCCCACCTTCTCCCTTCCCCAGAGACCCCTCCTGAGAAGCTCAGCCCTCACTGTGTCCCCCCACCCCATCCCCGGGGCTCTGCTCAGGTTTTTCAGCCGATCACTCTCTATTGTTCAGATCGACTGAACTCTGTCGATCCTCGCCACGTGTCTCAGTCCCGTCCTCTGTCACCCGCCTCCACTACTGACCCCCTCACTACGTTTCTCTTTTTATTTCTGTTATTTGCCAATTCTATATGTTTCCTTCGGTTTTGACTTTTATGGGGCTTTTGTTTTGGTTTTTCTTTATCTTTTTCTTTTTTGCTGTTTTGCTGTTTTTATAGAGAACTGCCATTTTTTTGCGGAGATTTTCTATTTTTTCATTGGTTTCAAAAGAATTTCCAATGGATTACTGTAGCTTTTTTTTTTTTTCTGAAGACTGCTTTAAAACCCTTGTCAGATAATTCCAGTGACTGATTCATCCTGGTGTGGGCGTCAGTTCACTGTCTTTTCCCGTCCACGCTGTGATGTTCTTGGTTCTTGGCGATGTGTACTGCGTCCTGCATATTTTGGCGGTTACGCAAGCAGATGCTGGGTCCTACTTACACTGTTGTTTCCTCAGGCGGTCGCCCTGCTTTGGTTTGGCCCTTCATGACCTGCAAGGGGCAGTTACATTTTCAGAGCCTTCTGTGTTTGCTCACCTGGGTTCATCCGATGTCGCTGGGTCCCCGCTGGTCCCTATGTGCTGCCAGAGGGTGGAAGGTGACCCGGAGCCTGACCATTGGGATGGAAGCATAGAGGGATTTCACTACCTGGATTTTACCCCTGTCCTGTCTGAACGGCATGGAGGGCCGGGGCTGTGGGGCTGCCCTGGTCCCCTGGACCAGGCTGCTGGCTGTGAGCAAAACATTCTCTTCCTTGCCCATCTCAGGGGTGTCTCCAAGCAGAAAATGGGGTTCCCACCCGTTAGGGAAGGAGAGTGCCTACCTTCACTTGCCTCCTTCCACCACCTTCCAGAGTGTCCTGTGACTTAGAGCTGCCCTCAGCAAACAGAAGCCTGGTCGTTACTGGGAAGTCAGGCCACGTCAACTGGGTGGTGGTGAGTGGGAGGGCGTGGGCCAGGCGAGCCGCAGGCCGTGTGCTCCTCACACGCACGCGGGAAGGCGTGTAAACACGCAATTCCATGCCGGCGGCTGTGGCAGAAAGGGAGGAGAGAGAGATAGTGTCTGCGTGGGGCGCGCTATTACGGGTATTAGAAGCACGAACGGCAGGAACACAGTGGAAAAGGAGCTAAGAACACGCAACAGGCAACTCGCAGAAACGGAAACCCAAAGGCGGCTTCGAGGTTTGCAAAAGGACCTAAACTTGCTTATCATTATGGAATGGAAGCAAGGACAAGTGTCATGCTTCACTCACGCTACAGACACCAGCAGGCTCGGGGATGCCGTTTGGAAGTTACTGGAAAGCGGGAACCCCGGGTATAAACACTCGGAGGCAGGAGCGGGCACCGTGCACCCACCAGTCAGCCAGCAACATGGGCAGCTGTCCCTGGGAAGCCCTAGCAGCGTGGAGGTGTGCCTGTGCCCCCTTGGTCTGAGACACTCTCCATTGACCACTTATTACCTGCATACACACAACCGCGTGAGCAGAGACACACACACACACGCACAGCGGGACTCCGTGGGGTGGAAAATATCTGGAAAACATCCCAAATATTCAGCAGGAGGTTATGCGTCGTGGTTAAGTAATTAGATTTCATTGAAACGATGAAACACAACCTGGTCAGGAGTGTATTCTCCAAATGCCCCAGAGAAACTCCCTGAAGGGCGCCGGATGGGAAAGTGTGTAAAGCTTCACTCTCCCTGATGAGGGAATGGGCGGGGGGGGGGGAGGGAGGGGGGTACAAAGCAGGTCCTCAGGTCTCGTGGTGACTGTGGAGTCATGTGGGGATGACAGAGAGACAGCAGGGGCCGACGGGAGACACGCTTGCTCCTGTATTCCTTCTTTTTTCATTTTTTTAACTTTTATTTAGTTTTGAGAGACAGAGCACAAGCAGGGGAGGGTCAGAGAGAGAGGGAGACACAGAATCGGAAGCAGGCTCCAGGCTCTGAGCTGTTAGCACAGAGCCCGACGTGGGGCTTGAACTTACAAACCACGAGATCGTGACCTGAGCTGAAGTCAGATGCTCAACCGACTGAGCCCCTCAGGCGCCCCATGTATGTATTATTGCTGATACACTTGAATCATGTACTTTTAATGTTTTCATTACAAGCAATGCCTTCAAAAATGCAACATGTTTGGCAGCTGGAATGTGAAACTGCATCAGGTAACATGAGAGAAAAATAAAGTGAGAAACACACCCCCGTCCTGCTTCTCCAGAGAACAAATCCTTTCCCCAAACCTACTTATTTTTTTTTAATGTTTCATTTATTTCTGAGAGAGAGATAGAGTGTGAGCAGGAGAGGAGCAGAGAGAGAGGGAGACACAAAATCCAAAGCAGGCTCCAGGCTCTGAGCTGTCAGCACAGAGCCCGACGTGGGGCTCGAACCCACGTACCGTGAGATCATGACCTGAGCCAAAGTCGGACGCCCAACCAACTGAGCCACCCAGGCGCCCCCAAACTTTCTTATTTTAAACAAGACTCACTGGTTTGCTGTTTGAGAGCCCCTGGGGCCCCGGCACACGTGGGCATGATTTTGTAACTATAGGTAAAGTCCCCTGGGTGGAACCGTCTGCTTATGTGATCTGTCCTTTGAAGACTATTTTTGAGCAGAACCAAGGTGGTTTTATTCTTTTTAAAAAGCATTCTCCTGTCGACAACAGCAGAGTTGCCATAATTAGTATAATATGCACCTCTTGTGTCTGTTCATTTATGAGGCTTTTTAAGATGTTTAAATTCCAGCCCCAAGTTTCAGGAGCACGGTAGGTGAAGGGACACAGCAGTAACAGAAATAATGGGCCCACGAGAGGAAGGGACACCCAGCAGACCCCTGTCCCTTTCCCCTGAGCCACAGTCCACGGTGGATCCCGGCCGCCAGGTGCACGCACCTCCAACCTCGGGCCCCAGGGCATGAGCCTTGCTGACGGAGGGGGAGTCCCTGTTAATTAGGGACAGGAATGCTTCGCAGCATAAAATGGGTAATCCCAGCTGCTGGGGCCAGACGGGGCTTGTTCTCCAGGTCAGGAATTCTCTCTTACCCACACTTGGTATTTTTAGATTCGTGCCCTTGGGGCACAAGCAGCTGATTCTTGTTCCCCAAGCGATCAGCTCAGCGCACCTCTACTGCCCCGGAGTTTTAGTGTAAACGTTACAGACTGTCCTGAAAATAACCTCAGGGCATGCTCAGAAGAGGGACAAGCCTGGCGGTGGCTCTTCAGCCTCCGGACAGACCAAGATATGTTTAGAATTTGCAGTGGATAAATTAAGGACAGGGGGCTCCATTAGTTAATGCGACTGGGAGATCTCTTGTGTTTGAGAAAATAGGCCACACCAGATACAATCAGGGCGCAAGGCTGCATGAGGTCAGTGCCTGGTGGGATCAGCGGACTCCCAGGCGATGAGATCTGTAATTGCCTGGGTAATTACCACCCACCCCACACGAAATCCCTCCAGGGCCTCCCTGAGCATGTCACATGGGACCTCGTGTGCTCGCCCGGGCGTGTCACACGGTCCTGAGGTGACGCTCCTGGGGGTGGGGGGTGTCTGAGTAATGGTGGCCCAGAGTAGGAGAGCGTCTTTGGAGATTAAATCAGCGCCCCGCACCCCGCCCTGAAGCAAGCCGGTAGCTCTGGGGTGCAATGTGTGTGCTCCTCCCGCGAGCCCAGCCATCCATGAACATGGGCCTCACGGCTGCCTGGAGTTTGGAGCCTTCCATGCTCACTCAGGGTCCTTGACGACCGAAGCCTCCTCTTCATGTCCCTCAAAAAGCGTTTGATGAACATCTGAACACCAGTACCCTCCTTCTGCAGCGGTTCGAAACCCAGCCTGGTGGAAGTTGCATCTGCATCCAAGCTGAAGGGGAGCCAGGCAGGGCGGGTGGAAGACAGAGGCGGGCTTGCAGGACAGCAGAGGCCCCAGAGGTGTGGACTGCCACCCACTCAGCACCAGAAGTCTGCGGGTTCAAAACAACCCTGCATCCCCGAGGCAGGGCGGTGGGAACGTGTCCCCGGGCGCATTGTGGAGGGAACTTAAAAACCTCAATAAAACAGAGTAAAACTCAGGGTGACTTGATTACTGCTATTTGTGGGCAATCTGAAAAGTGATAAACACTCCCCCCACCAAATTCTGTGGTTGGATCTGTGGCTGAGGGGTTCTGCCCCAAGCACGCATTTCTGGAGAAAATGTGTGTGCACCCCGCCCCCACCCGACTCACTCCTGAGCTGCAAGAGACAAGTCCCAGATCCGAGCAGGGCCACATGACTGGAAAGTCAGAGAAGCAACTCTCCCCTCCCCACAAGGCCCGAAGCCCCCACTGCAGGCAGATGAGCAGGGGATGGGGCAGGACACAGGGGGCGGGCTCCGTGCTGCGGGGCGCAGTGTACTTGATGTATTTATTCCTTATTCTACTGAATCTGATGAGCAGATGTTAAAACAACATTATTTCACATTGTTGGTTGTTTTATCCTTGGAGAATGAGCCCAGAAAACAATAATTACGGCTATTATTATTAAATATGGCTAATGTTACTGAATATTAATAATTATGACCATTCCACGCTTTCACTGAAAACAATCTGGCCACATACAGCGGACCTTGTCGCAAACAGTTGGCTGCCTGATGCATACGGCAGCCACCAGCTACGAGCTCGGTCAGGAGTACATTTAAAGATTATTTTATAAAGTGCAGGCCTGGGGTAAGTCTGCTCCTGGATTCCACACCAAAATAGTGGAATCACAGTGCTCCAATCCTGATGCTTTGAGCCCAGAAAAGGTGTTCTTTCTGCTGCTCAGAAATAAGTCCTTAAAAAGAAAATGCCGCCCAAAAGTAAACCCAACAGTTGATGTGTCCTTGTGTTCGGGCACTGGATTTGGTGCCACGTGTCTGAGATCCAGCTCGGCCGCTTCTCCGCACGACTCAGGGAGAGGGCACCCAGCTGTCAGGACTGAGCTCTGACGTCGACAGTGGTTCCTTCTCAGACGACTGTCCCGTGGGGGCCGCTGGGTGGGCTGACACTCCACAGACTGGGGGCGAATGCCCCCTCCCCTCGCCACCTGCCTGGCACAGGTCCAGCCTGTATTTGTCATCTGTATATGGACAACCATGGCCAAATCCTGCAGAAAGACAAGGACAGAGAAAGTCCTTCTTCTCGTGATTATGCTGTTGTACTGGTGACCTGAAATAAAGTAAGATGAAAGTCATCTTCTTCTTCTTCTTTCCTCCTCCTCCTCCTCCCCTCCTCCTCCCCCTCCCCCTCATCCTTCCCCTCCTCCTCCTCCTCCCCTCCTCCTCCATCTCCCCCTTTCTCCTTCTCCTCCTCCCCTTCCCCTTTCCAAACAGAAATAGAAGAATATAAATGATCCCAGTGTCCCACTTGAGATGCATGGAGGAGATAGCTTTCTGCTATCGTGTCCGTACAAGCCAAAATGCCACTACAGAAATAATTAGAGTTTTATTTAGCTGCTCTAGCAACATGCAAACACTTAATCTCATGGTGCCTCGCACACACAGGAGGAGGCCGCAGTGGGAGGAGGGTCAGGAGCCACGTCTGCTGGACCTCGGCTCCTGTCTGCTGACAGACCACGGACGGGCCCCCCTGAGCGCAGCATCAGCACGCAGCCGGCTGGGACTGTGCAGACAGGCTGTGTGGAGCCTCCTTGGAGGCGGGTTTTGCAAAAGCAGGCGCCAGGCAGGCTGTCGCGAGGGGGGTGGGGGGCACCACGCACTTACGCGGACATTCCCCACGGGCTCCTACACGAAACATGCACAGTGTGACTTTTCAAAAAAGTTGTGTATTTTTTCTGAAGTGACACCACTCTGAAAGTATGTTTGATGTTTTTACTGTGGTTCTTTATGTGTCCCTAAAAGTCTTAACAGAC